TGTAAATTAAGAATGCTTTCGGAAATAGAAGTGTTAATAGTTTATTAACAAAATAGAAAGTAAATGAACAGAAGAGAAATCCAAATCAAATCAATATTTGGTGTGACCATCCTTTGCCTTCAAACCAACATCAATTCTTCAAGGTAAACACTGTGCTTGCGCACACATTACTAGAAGGAACTTTGCAGGTAGGTTGTTCCAAACATCTTGGAGAACTAACCATAGATCTTCTGTGGATGTAGGCTGCCTCAGATCCTTCTGTCTCATCATGTAATCCAAGGCAGACTTGATGATGTTGAGATAAGGGCTCTGTGGGGACCAAACCATCACTTCCTGGACTCCTTGTTCTTCTTTACACTGAAGATAGTTCTGAATGACATTGGCTGTATGTTCGGTGTTAAATTTGGGGCCAATCACACACCTGATGGTATGGCGTGATGGATAACCTACCTTCCAAGTTCCTTCAAAAACTGTGTGCACCTACAGGTGAAACTCTAAAAATTAGAATATGGTGCGAAAGTTCATTTATTTCAGTAATGCAACTTAAAAGGTGAAAGTAATATATGAGATAGACTCATAACATGGAAAGCAAGATAGTTCAAGCTGTGATTTGTCATAATTGTGATGATTATGGCTTACAGCTCATGAAAACCCCAAATCCACAATCTCAGAAAATTAGAATATTGTGAAAAGGTGCAATATTCTAGGCTCAAAGTGTCCCACTCTAATCAGATAATTAAACCGTAACACCTGCAGAGGGTTCCTGAGCCTTTAAATGGTCTCTCAGTCTGGTTCAGTAGGAATCACAATCATGGGAAAGACTGCTGACCTGACGGTTGTGCAGAAAACCATCATTGACACCCTCCATAAGGAGGGAAAGCCTCAAAAGGTCATTGCAAAAGAAGTTGGATGTTCCCAAAGTGCTGTATCAAAGCACATTAATAGAAAGTTATGTGGAAGGGAAAGGTGTGGAAGAAAAAGGTGCACAAGCAGCAGGGATGACCGCAGCCTGGAGAGGATTGTCAAGAAAAGGCCATTCAAAAGTGTTGGGGACTTTCACAAGGAGTAGACGGAGGCCGGAGTCAGTGCATCAAGAGCCACCGCACACAGACGGATCCTGGACATGGGCTTCAAATGTCGTATTCCTCTTGTCAAGCCACTCCTGAACAACAAACAATGTCAGAAGCGTCTTACCTGGGCTAAAGAAAACCAGACCTGGTCTGTTGCTCAGTGGTCCAAAGTCCTCTTTTCTGTTGAGACCAACTTGCATATCATTTGGAAACCAAGGACCCAGAGTATGGAGGAAGAATGGAGAGGCACACACTGCAAGATGCTTGAAGTTCAGTGTGAAGTTTCCACAGTCTGTGTTGATTTGGGGAGCCATGTCACCTGCTGGTGTTGGTCCACTGTGCTTCATTAAGTCCAGGGTCAATGCAGCCGTCTACCAGGAGATTTTGGAGCACGTCATGATACCTTCTGCAAACAAGCTTTATGGGGATGCTGACTTAATTTTCCAGCAGGACTTGGCACCTGCTGTAAGGGACCGAGCCCAGCGCTGCGGCGATCCCCGACACCTGCCCACACTGCCAAAAGCACCAAAACCTGGTTTAATGACCGTGGGATTACTGTGCTTGATTGGCCAGCAAACTTGCCTGACCTGAACCCCATAGAGAATCTACGGGGCATTGCCAAGAGAAAGATGAGAGACATGAGACCGAACAATGCAGAAGAGCTGAAGGCCGCTATTGAAGCATCCTGGTCTTCCATACACCTCAGCAGTGCCACAGGCTGATAGCTTCCATGCCACGCCGCATTGAGGCAGTAATTGCTGCAAAAGGGGCCCAAACCAAGTACTGAGTACATATGCATGCTTACACTTTTCAGAGGTCCGATATTGTTCTATGTACAATCCTTGTTTTATTGATTGCATGTAATATTCTAATTTTCTGAGATTGTGGATTTGGGGTTTTCATGAGCTGTAAGCCATAATCATCACAATTATGACAAATCATGGCTTGAACTCTCTTGCTTTGCATGTAATGAGTCTATGTCATATATTAGTTTCACCTTTTAAGTTGCATTACTGAAATAAATGAACTTTTGCATGATATTCTAATTTTTTTGAGTTTCACCTGTAGAAGAAATGAAGAATTGATACTGGTTTGAAGCCAAAGGATGATCACACAAAATATTGATTTGATTTGGATTACTCTTCTGTTCATTTACTTTCCATTTTGTTAATTGATAAACTATTAAAACTTCTTTTTCTGAAACCATTCTTCATAACTGCCTATAACTTTTGCACAGTACTGTAAGTGCATCCAAAATGTAGCGATCTCATTAGAACAGGAATAGAGGGGAAATCTTCCATCCAGTTGGGGCACTTTTTTTCCCATGACAACTGAAAAAAGATTTCCTTCACATTGGAAAGACTTCCTGTTTAATTTACAGAACAGGAAAGGAACTCTTCCTAATGAGACATAAATGGCATAAAAAAATAAATAAAGCTGACAGTGATTTTGAAGTGTAACTGAAGGCAAACATTTTTTCTAGTTTTGGATAGAGTGGAGACGCATTAGAACTCATGTCAGGTTTTACTTTGGTCTGTGTCTCTATTGCCATAGGTTCACACCTAAGCATTTTCCGCAGTGTTTTGCAGAAATGCACTACAGTCCATTTAACATGACTTCCTATGGGACACATTCACATCTCCGCATTTTCACCCAGTGCTTTTTTTGGAAAGGATCAGGGACTTTTTTAAAAGCAAAAAGTTGAGTTTTTTGGTTCTACAGACGTCAATGGAGACGCTGAAGAAAAGCATGTGCTGCATTTTTGTATTTAAATCTGCCTAGCAACAAAAGAAACAAACAAAAAAAATCCTGCGAAATGCATCAAAAACACATGTACAAAAATGCAAAGTGCACTGCAGAAATGGATCAAATGCAAACTGCATAGGTGTGAACCTAGCCTTAGGGAGATTCATCCTCTCTATTTGTCCTCTTTACGGTTATCATCAAAAGTGAAGGAAAATCTCACATTTTAGGTTGATACCAGAACAGTAAGGCCTCATATGCACACTGGACTTTTTGATGCTGCTCTTAGGGGAATCTGGCAGTTTTTTTTTCTGCCTCTAAACGCCCCTGCATATTAACCTGTGTCCATGCACACATAGGCATTTAGAGGAGTTTAGAAATAGAAACAAAAAACACTGCCAGTGTGTCTAGGAGCAGAGGTGTTTTGGCAGAAAAAAAAAAAAGGCTTGATGTATGTATACGCATGTTTTAACACATTTAAACATGTTAACACTAGGTGCAGTTAGCACTTGCATGTTTATTCATTTCAACTGCCAGAATAAATTATCATTCTGGCCAATAAAATGAATTAACGCCCAAAACTTGAGGCTTGACTGCAGGGTGGATTTGATTTAAATCAAACTGATTTAAATCACTAGTCAGTAAGGCTTGATTTAAATCATAGTTTTCTACATAGATTAATTCTTGCTGGTATAACTTTAATATGCAAGTAGATGAAGATTTTTAGAATAACAACTTTTCATATTCGTTTTTTTATCCCCAATTTAATTGGTTAATCATTCAAATTTGGACAACTTTTCTGTTGTACTTAGGAAGGAGAAAAATAATCATTACCTTAATAATAACAATTTAAATAGATTTATTCAACTGAAACAATAACATTACAGCATATGTTATTTGCTTAAACAAACATCCATGTTTGTTAACTAATTTGGCTAAACAAAATATATATATTTTAAGAAACTTAGGCTGTCAGCCCCTTCCTCCTCACACTTAGTTTCACTTTCTTCTTGTGCAGATCTATTCCACTCCAAACAATCAGAAAAATATTGTTTCTATTCTATTCACTGAACTTCTTGAAACTTACAACTGAAGGGGTTGATTCTGTATTCATAGGTTTGTAGAAGTTAGGATTAAGGTCTTTTTCTTAACTCTGTTCATGTTATAACATTTTTGCTGTGAAGAAGAGGCATGTGATCTCCGCTGAGTAAAATTCAGTTTTGAGAACTGCAAAAGTAAACCAAGCATCTGTGATAATATCTGGTAGGCAGAGAAACTGCCCAATAATCTTACAAAAACCTCTGGAAGAGCATGACATTGTGAATGGATTCATGGAATTTATTTACCAAACAAATAAAACATATAAAGCCTTATTCTACATAGTTAAAAAAACTAATCTTTATTTCATGATGGAATAACGATTTAAATAAAAAAAATCAGATTTTTTTTTATTTTTTTAAAAAAAATCATTGATTTTTATCCACCCTGCTTGACTGTACACACGTGTACAAGCATCAAGTGTTTTTTCTGCCAAAACACCACTGCCAGGAGGAAAGGTGTCTAGGAGAGATATCAAAACCATCCAGTGTGCATGAGACCCAACATCTTCCAATGGGGACACTAGTTCTTTTGACACCTTAGGATTACCTCACTTTAGAGGGATTTCCTCTCACTTCCTGTTTTGGCCATATTCGGTTTTAAATTAGTTTTCCCCCTCGGTTACCTGGGCAAAACGGACAAGTGCCTCAAAGAAATGCACTTAAAAAAATGTGCAGTGTGTTTTTGGTACACTTCTCATTTATTATAATGGAAGGGCACTGAAGATGCTACAAGCAAAAAGCACAAAAAAAAAACACAGCACACAGATTTGAACAGCTAGATAGGATTAACCTTTTGCCAACCATGCTTTAGCCGAATGACGGCTACAGCCCCGTTGACCAGTTCTGGGAAGACGTCATATGATGTCCTCCCAGAACGTGCCCTCCTGTGTGCCCCCAGCGGCCAGCACCCGGCAATCTCTGTGATCCAATCACAGTGGCCTTTTACCACGTGATCAGCTGTGTCCAATGACACATCAGATTACGGAGCAAATACAGTTGCTGGTTATTGGCAGCACTTTCCTCACGCTGTCACAGCCTGAGGAAAGTACTGCTGACAACTGGCAATTGTCACAGAAAAGATCAGCACTGGTTATCAATGTCCAGCAGTGCCACCCGCCAGTGCCTTCCAGTGCTGCTTATTAGTATCCATCAGTGCAGCCTCATCAACACACATCACTGAAGTAGACAAATTACCCGTTTGAAAAATTTGATTTTAAAAACAAAGAAAAACTTTTTTTTTTCAAATTTTTTGCAATTTTTTTGTTTATAGTGCAAAAAATAAAAACCCCAGTGGCGATTAACCACAAGCCTACAGGGCACTTTTACCCCCTTCCTGCCCAGACCAATTTCCAGCGCTGTTGGACTTTGAATGACAATTGCGCGGTCATGCAACACTGTACCCATATGAAATTTTTATCATTTTTTTGTGACAGATAGAGCTTTATTTTGGTGGTATTTAATCAACTCTGGGTTTTTTATTTTTTCTTAAACCAAAAACCACTGAAAATTTTGAAAAAAAAAAAACAAGTTTATTCTTAGATTTTGTTATAAAATTTTGTAAATAAGTGATTTTTATCCTTCACTGATGTGCGCTAATGAGGCTGCAGTGATGGGCACTGAGGAGGAGGCATAGGTAGGTGGCACTGATAGGCATTGACAGGCATCACTGATGGGCACTGATAGGCGGCACTGATGGGTGACACTGAAAGGCAGCTCAGATGGGCACTGATATGTGGCAGTGATGTGCACTGGTAGGCACTGATATGTGGCAGTGATGTGGTACTGGCACGAGGCACTTATGAGCCCTGACACAAGGCACTGATGGACACAGACAGGTGGCACTGATGGGGCTACACTGATCATCAGGGCACACTGATCATCAGTGCCCTGATGATCAGTGTACATGTCCCCTCCGCAGAAAGCCGATTACCGGCTGACAGCTCAAGAGGAGAGAAATGCCGATAACTGGCATTTCCCTGTTTACATGTGATCAGCTGTGATTGGACACAGCTGATCACATGATTGAGCCGACATCTTCGGCTCTGTGATCGGTGATCCGCTATGTCTGAGGGACACAGCGCACCGCTGATCGCTACGCTTCGTGCTCCCTGAGCCGTGCATGCGAGGTGAGAATGGGAGGACATCATATGACATCCTCCCAGAATGAGATAACCACCTTGTGTCCGTCATATTACTATATGGCAGGCGGGAGGTGGTTAAATACCATGGAAAGAAAGCTCTACTTGTGTGAAAAAAATGATAAAATTTTCATATGGGTACAATATTGCAGGACCACGCAATTGTCATTCAAAATGTGACAGCACTGAAAGGTGAAAATTGGCCTGGGCACAAAGGGGGTAAAAGTGCCCTGTAGGCAGGTGGTTAAAGGCTCATGTAAACCACTATCTATGGATTCAATATGCATTTCGGCATGCGTGTTTGCAAGCATTTCAGTGTGTTTTCTGGAATCATTTTTTCATGTATTTCAATTTACTTTCTTCACGGAGGCTCCATTCACACTCTTACTACTTTGTATGGGTGCGACTTAGATGTGACTTGTCCCTCTGTAGTCAGACCCACCGTTGAATGATAGTCTTGGTTCACACTAGCAAACTCCAAAGTCACGAAATTTCCCGTGCGACTTTGATCCGACTTTACGCTCTATGGATCTAAGTTCCACCAAAACCCACAGAAAGAAGGAAGTGACCTCACAGGGCAAATATGGATGGAAAACCATGTGTCAGCTGCATGTAAACAATAAAACCACACCATACATGTTCAGTTTTGGGGTGAATGGGCCATAAAGAAGCCCTTCAAGGGGACAATTTTACACGTGCTTTTGTCATGCTGGGAAGGTGCATTTAGCGAGGCAGAAGCGCACAGGTGTGAACAGAGTCATTCATTCTCCAGAAGCATGGTATCATATCACACCTCCCGTCATAGATAAGAACAGGCCAGCAGTCATTTAACAGGAATGAAGGCTATTGACGTCTATTGACATTCACAGCTCTGTACTGCTGTCACTGTACACCATAGGGGAGACCAGCCTCCCATACACGATCCCACCACACACCGCCCGATCTCTCCCCACACAGCCCGGCACAACTCACATGGGAATTTTGACACTCACTGTTTTCACTCTCCGCTCTCTCCTCCACAGAAAAACTTCCGGCGAGGTTGCACTTCCGCTTCCGGTCTACTCTGTTGCTAGCTGGAGAGAATTTTCCAGATTCATAGAGGCTGTTGCTATGGAGATGTGCTGATAATGAGATGCAGAGAGATGTTCTGTGGTATCAGGACGATGTGTAATCAATGTGGAGGGGGTTGTGCAGCTCTGTGTATTGTGTGCCTCCCCTACAGCCCGCACCCTTCACTGCTGAGGTGAACGTATTGTCTCCATACTGAGCCGGGCAGCAGTGTTGCCTCATTCAGGAAGTATTGTTATAGGAAGGCTTTTCTCCATGGTAGCGGTATGTGGAGTCCACTATGGAAGCAGCTGTGCCCTATGACTGAGTGGTAGCCTGCCTTGGGAATGGAGTGCAATTTAAGGTGGAATTAAACACAACACGATTTCATTTTGGATAGAGAATTGAAGGGTAAAACAGCCCTGTTAGTCCCATTGAGATTTCACTTCCTGTTCATAGACAAAACAGGAAGTGAGAGGAAGTCCCTCCAACGTGAGGGAATCCCGGGGTGTCAACAGAACTAGTGTACCCAAGAATGGATGAGATAGCTGTGCCCAAGTCCTGACTGACTGTGCCAGACAGTGGTGTCTACATTACTTACTACTGACCTCTGCCTTACTAATGACCTCTGCTGCCTTCTACCTTACTACTCCCCTCTGCTGTCCTCTGCCTTACTACTCCCCTCTGCTGTCCTCTGCCTTACTACTCCCCTCTGCTGTCCTCTGCCTTACTACTCCCCTCTGCTGTCCTCTGCCTTACTACTCCCCTCTGCTGTCCTCTGCCTTACTACTCCCCTCTGCTGTCCTCTGCCTTACTACTCCCCTCTGCTGTCCTCTGCCTTACTACTCCCCTCTGCTGTCCTCTGCCTTACTACTCCCTCTGCTGTCCTCTGCCTTACTACTCACCTCTGCTGTCCTCTGCCTTACTACTCCCTCTGCTGTCCTCTGCCTTACTACTCCCCTCTGCTGTCCTCTGCCTTACTACTCCCCTCTGCTGTCCTCTGCCTTACTACTCCCCTCTGCTGCCTTCTACCTTACTACTGAACTCTGCTGTCCTCTGCCTTACTACTGAACTTTGCCTTACTAATGACCTCTGCTGTACTCTGCCTTACTACCCGCCTCTGCTGTCCTCTGCCTTACTACTCCCCTCTGCTGTCCTCTGCCTTACTACTCACCTCTGCTGTTCTCTGCCTTACTACCCCCTCTGCTGTCCTCTGCCTTACTACTCCCCTCTGCTGCTTCCTCTGCCTTACTACTCACCTCTGCTGTCCTCTGCCTTACTACTCCCCTCTGCTGTCCTCTGCCTTACTACCCCCTCTGCTGTCCTCTGCCTTACTACTCACCTCTGCTGTCCTCTGCCTTACTACTCACCTCTGCTGTCCTCTGCCTTACTACTCACCTCTGCTGTCCTATGCCGTACTACTCCCCTCTGCTGTCCTCTGCCTTACTACTCCCCTCTGCTGTCCTCCTTACTACTCCCCTCTGCTGTCCTCTGCCTTACTACTGAACTCTGCTGTCCTCTGCCTTACTACTCCCCTCTGCTGTCCTCTACCTTACTACTCCCCTCTGCTGTCCTCTGCCTTACTACTGAACTCTGCTGTCCTCTGCCTTACTACTCCCTTCTGCTGTCCTCTACCTTACTACTCCCCTCTGCTGTCCTCTGCCTTACTACTCCCCTCTGCTGTCCTCTACCTTACTACTCCCCTCTGCCTTACTACTCCTCTCTGCTGTCCTCTGCCTTACTACTGAACTCTGCTGTCCTCTGCCTTACTACTCCCCTCTGCTGTCCTCTGCCTTACTACTCCCCTCTGCTGTCCTCTGCCTTACTACTCCCCTCTGCTGTCCTCTGCCTTACTACTCCCCTCTGCTGTCCTCTACCTTACTACTACTCCCCTCTGCCTTACTACTCCTCTCTGCTGTCCTCTGCCTTACTACTGAACTCTGCTGTCCTCTGCCTTACCTTACTACTCCCCTCTGCTGTCCTCTGCCTTACTACTGAACTCTGCTGTCCTCTGCCTTACTACTGAACTCTGCTGTCCTCTACCTTACTACTCCCCTCTGCTGTCTTCTCTTCTACCTTACTACTCTCCTCTGCTGTCCTCTACCTTACTACTCCCCTCTGCCTTACTACTCCTCTCTGCTGTCCTCTGCCTTACTACTGAACTCTGCTGTCCTCTGCCTTACTACTCCCTCTGCTGTCCTCTGCCTTACTACTCCCCTCTGCTGTCCTCTGCCTTACTACTCCCCTCTGCTGTCCTCTGCCTTACTACTCCCCCCTCTGCTGTCCTCTGCCTTACTACTCCCCTCTGCTGTCCTCTGCCTTACTACTCCCCTCTGCTGTCCTCTACCTTACTACTCCCCTCTGCTGTCCTCTGCCTTACTACTCCCCTCTGCTGTCCTCTACCTTACTACTCCCCTCTGTCCCTTACTACTCCTCTCTGCTGTCCTCTGCCTTACTACTGAACTCTGCTATCCTCTGCCTTACTACTCCCCTCTGCTGTTCTCTGCCTTACTACTCCCCTCTGCTGTCCTCTGCCTTACTACTGAACTCTGCTGTCCTCTGCCTTACTACTCCCCTCTGCTGTCCTCTACCTTACTACTCCCCTCTGCTGTCCACTACCTTACTACTCCCCTCTGCCTTACTACTCCTCTCTGCTGTCCTCTGCCTTACTACTTAACTCTGCTGTCCTCTGCCTTACTACTCCCCTCTGCTGTCCTCTGCCTTACTACTCCCCTCTGCTGTCCTCTGCCTTACTACTGACTCTCTGCTGTCCTCTGCCTTACTACTCCCCTCTGCTGTCCTCTACCTTACTACTCCCCTCTGCTGTCCTCTGCCTTACTACTGACCTCTGCTGTTCTCTGTCTTGTTACTGACCTCTGCCTTACTAATGATATCTACTGTCCTTGCCCTTACTAATGACCTCTGCTGTCCTCTGCCTTACTGCTCACCTCTGCTCTCCTCTGTCTTACTACTGACCTCTGCTGGCCTCTGCCTTACTACTCACCTCTGCTGTCCTCTGCCTTACTACTCACCTCTGATGTCCTCTGCCTTACTACTCACCTCTGCTGTCCTCTGCCTTACTAATGACCTCTGCTGTCCTCTGCCTTACTACTGACCTCTGCTGTCCTCTACCTTACTACTGACCTCTGCTGTCCTCTGCCTTACTACTGACCTCTGCTGTCCTCTGCCTTACTTCTGACCTTTGCTGTCCTCTGCCTTACTACTGACCCCTGCTGTCCTCTGCCTTACTACTGCTCTGCTGTCTTCTGCCTTATTACTGACCTTTGCTGTCTTTTGCTTTTCTTACTACTCTCTCTGCTGTTTTGCCTTACTATTGACCTCTGCTGTAATCTGCTTACTTACTACTGACCTCTGCTGTCCTCTGCCCTATTACTGACCTCTATTGTCCTCTGCCTTAATATTGACCTCTGCCTTACTACTGACCTCTGCTGTCCTCTGCCTTACTACCCACCTCTGCTGCTGTCCTCTGCCTTACTACCCACCTCTGCTGTCCTCTGCCTTACTACCCTCCTCTGCTGTCCTCTGACTTACTACCCTCCTCTGCTGTCCTCTGCCTTACTACTCCCCTCTGCTGTGCTCTTATTACTGGTCTCTGCTGTCCTCTACCTTATTACTGACCTCTGCTGTGCTTTGTTTACTTACAACTTACCTCTGCTGTCCTCTGCCTTACCACTGACCGCTGCCTTGCTACTGACCTTTGCCTTACTACTAACCGCTGCCTTACTACTTACCTCTGCTGTCCTCTGTCTTCCTACTGACCTCTGCCTTCCTACTGACCTCTGCTGTCCTCTGTCTTACTGCTGTCCTCTGCCTTACTTCTGACCTCTGCTGTTCTCTGCCTTATTACTGACCTCTGCTGTCCTCTGACTTACTGCTGACTTGTGTGTCCTCTGCCTTACTGTTAACCTCTGCTGTTGTCTACCTTATTACTGACCTCTCCTGTCCTCTACTTACTTACTACTAATCTCTGCTTTACTACTGACCTCTGCTGTCCTCTGACTTACTACTGACCTCTGCTGTCCTCTGACTTACTACTGACCTCTGCTGTCCTCTGACTTACTACTGACCTCTGCTGTCCTCTGACTTACTACTGACCTCTGCTGTCCTCTGCCTTACTACTGACTTGTGTGTTGTCTGCCTTACTACTGACCTCTGCTATTGTCTACCTTATTACTGACTTCTGCTGCTCTCTGCTGATCTCTATCCTCTGCCTTACTACTGATCTGGACTGCTGTCCTCTGCTTACTTTAAACTGACCTCTGCTGTCCTCTGCCTTACTAATGACCTCTGCTGCTCTCTGCTGATCTCTATCCTCTGCCTTACTACTGATCTCTGTATTACTTTCAACTGACCTCTGCCTTACTATTTACCTCTGCTGCCCCTTAATTACTTACTACTGACCTCTGCTGCCCTCTGCCTTACTACCAACCTGTGTTTCTCTCTGCATTACTTACTACTGACCTCTATCCTCTGCCTTATTTACTGCTGACCTCTTAACCCTAAAAGAATCATGTTCAGAGAGCCTTTAAAGCAGCTGGCACACCAATTGCCTTATGTATTGTCACGATTACCCATTTGTTGCCCATGTATTGTAACAATTGCTGTATAAGTGACACAAGGAAGAAAAAAAGTGTGGGTGATCGTGGTGTCGGACCTTTGGAACTCACCAGAAGTTGTAATCTAATGTCAAGCAGTGGTAAGTCCACTTCAAGGAGGACGAATGGAATTTGTGCTGGAGATAGTCTCATTATGGTTGGTGGGTGGTTATATTTGGAGTAGAGAGGAATTTTGTTTAGGAGGTACTCTGTGCTTTATTTGCTTTTGACCTCTATACTCTGTGGGTTATACACTCCTGACCCCTGCACTCTGTGGATTATGTACTTTTAACCCATGGCAGAGTAGGCTCAGGATTTATTTATCCATACCTCTATAAGCCCCTTCCACTGCTTCCACAATTTGGCTGTATTTTACCATTCAAGAGTGTCCCCAGATTTTATTTTAAAAATTTGGTCACCTTACTGTGGGGAGCATAATCTTTGAAGTATTGATTTGTAAAGAGGCTGTAATTGCAGTGATCCCTCTCTGTCATGTGACAAGCCTCTAGTCAATGAATGGCTCCTCAAGCATATGGTCAGATAAAGTACTGAAAACGTTTGCCCTGTTTGCCCGTTTATTATTTGATAAGGATATGTTTGTTCTTTTCCACAATCTTGGCCGATGCTCCCTGTCCTAGCCAGTCCACAAATACACCTGTGCAGAAAGAAAAATATTGTTTAGATTCCTTATTTAAATGTCATTTAGTTAAATTAATTTTCAGAATTCGTTTTATTCCGCATATTTGAATTCGATTCGAATTTTGCGAACTCAGTTGCAAAGTTTGAATCGGCATTTGAATTCAAATTTATTCTATTCAAAATTTGAATTAAAGATGGTTATTTTTTTTCTATTTGACTCTGTTCTAGTGTATTGTTTTTAACTTTCCCTTCCCTTCTAATTTATTCTATTTGAAACATGAATTTCAGAAAACGGTTATGTTCTATTCTATTATATTGTTTTTTTTTCTTTTCTATTCTATTCTTTTATTTTCTATTCTTTTTTATTCTATTCAAATTTATTGTATTCAAAATTTAAAATTCGGAAGACGGTTATATACTTTCTTTTCTATTCTATTGTTTTTTCTATTCTATTTTATTCTTTTCTATTTTATTTTGTTCTTTTCTGTTCAAATTCAGATTTCAGAATACGGTTATATTCTTTCTATTCTATTCTACTCTATCCTATGCTATTCTATTCTCTATCCTATCCTATGCTATTCTATTCTATTGTATGTTTTTCTATTTTACTCTATTATTTTCTATTTTTTTCTATTTTACTCTATTATTTTCTATTATACTCTTTTCTATTTTATTTTATTCTTTTCTATTCTTTTCTATTCTATTCTGTTCTAATCTATTTTATTTGAATTTATTCTATTCGAATTGCAAAAGACGATTATATTCTTTCTATTTAATTCTATTTTATCCTATTGTTTTTTATATTGTATTCTTTTCTATTATATATTATCTATTCCATTCTGTTAAAATTTGGGAAGACAGCTGTATGCTTTCTTTTTTTTCCGTTTTACTTTATTCTTTTCTATTTTATTCTATTATTTTCTATTCTATTCTGTTTTTCTCTATATGTTTCTATTCTACCTATGCTATTATTTTCTATTATGTTCTTTACTATTCTATTCTGTTCTTTTCTATTTTGTTTCTTTATTTTCTATTCTGTTCTCTTCTATTCTTTTCTTTTTTTTATTATTTCCTTTTATATTCGTTTATTTTCTATTATTTTTTTTATATTCCTTTAATTTCTATTATATTTTATTCTATTCTTGTTTTTCAAATTAGTTTCAAATTTCGGATGAAATTTTGTTTTGGTATTTTGGATTTGTTAAAATTCATTACTATTGTAATTTGGAAATTCGGATACTTCCGAATTTTCGAATAATAAAAAATGAATCTGAACAAAACGAAATGCAAATGTCTATCCACCAATGCAAACTTGCATTTTGTAGAAAAATCATTTATACAAAGATTGTTTCTTGGCCAGGTTGCGCATACACATCCAGCTGCAGTGAAATGTAGGCATCTTGAAGGTGCCCATATGTCCAACCTCCCCTCTGTGTCTATGGGCACGTTTAGAATCCATAGAACGTTTTATAATTTGCAGTACAGCGATACATCTGTTTTTTTTAGAATTGAAGATTGAAAAATTCAGCATGGTTAAAGTTGTATTTAGTTTGCATTTCACAGTTTAAAGTGGTATTACACCCCGGAATTGGCACGTAACAAATCACATTCCAAGTCGCACCCTATTGTCCGTAATTGCAGCGGTTATATTTGGTCGGACTTGGTCGGAGCCGCTCTGATTTCTAAAGTAGTACATGCACTACTTTTGGTGCGATTTGCATAGACATCTGTGTCAGATGTCTTGAAAATCGCACCTGAAATTGGCATGTCATCCGACCTTGAAATCATGCGACTTCACTGTAAGACGTTCGATTTCAAAGTCGGATGTGATGTGACCGGGGTGTTAAACCCAAAAACAAAAATAAAATTGCAGCTTTGGTTGGTTGCATTAGTTCCTTTTTAAGCTCTTTCCCTGGTAATCCAGTCAGTAAGGCTGTTATTTTTCAACTTACATTAACTGACCAAGCTGTCCAGTTAGAGAGTTGATCATTTAACACTAACAGGGGTTCATGCAATAGTCATCTTTTATATATTCATGTAAAACCTTTGTCCCAAAAGGAAACAGTTTGCTGTAGCTGCTTATAAAATGTTAGCTGGCGTTCAGCTTCAATTTGTTACTCAGGTTCATCTAAATCTGCTGGTCTAACACTAGCCTCTCCCAGACTGGCAATGCTGCTGTCCAAAGGTATCCTTTTTACTATTTCATCCAGATTGCAGACACAGAAAGTGTGTTACTGGCCAGATCACCAGGGGAAATAAAGGGGGAAAAAGCCTAAAAAAACAAATGCAGTAACCACATCTAAGGATTGGTAAGTTGCAGTATATTACATTTTTGTTTTTAGGTGACATACCACTTTAAGACACTTTTGAGCTGCTTTCTGCTGTTTTTTGCATGCTCCTTTAACCACCTCCTGCCCGCCATATACTAATATGACGGATGCAAGGTGGTTCTCTCATTCTGGGAGGACGTCACATTCTAACCCCTCCCGGAGCGTGCAAGCGCGGCGATCGGCGGTGCGCTGTGTCCCTCGGACACAGCAGATCACCGATCAACGGAAAGAGCCAAAGATGTCGGCTCATCATGTGATCAGCTGTGTCCAATCAGCTGATCACATGTAAACAGGGAAATGCTGGTTATCTGCATTTCTCTCCCCACAAGCTGTCACGCTGACAGCTCGTGAGGAGAGGAGAGCAGGTAATCGGCATTCCTCGGAGGGGACATGTACACAGATCATCAGAGCACTGATGATCAGTGTGCCCTGATGATCTGTGTAGCCCCAGCAGTGCCACCTGTCAGTGTCCATCAGTGCCAACTCTTAGTGCTCATCCATGCCACCTGCCAGTGCCACATTTCAGTCCCCATCAATGCCACATATCAGTGCCCATCTGAGCTGCCTTTCAGTGTCACCCATCAGTGCCAGTCAATGCCACCTATCAGTGCTGCCAATCAGTGCCGCCTCTCAGTGCCAGTCAGTGCCGCCTATCAGTGTGCATCAGTGCCGTCTATCAGTGCCCGTCAGTGCTGCCTATCAGTGCCACCTAACAGTGCCAGTCAGTGCCGCCTATCAGTGCCATATATGAATGCTGCCTTTCAGTGCCTATCAGTCATGCCTGTCAATGCCCATCAGTGCCACCTACCAGTGCCTCCTCATCAGTGCCACCTATCAGTGTCCATCAGTGCAGCCTCATTAGCGCACATCAGTGAAGGAGAAAAATCACTTATTTACAAAATTTTATACCAAAACTAAGAAAAAAAATTTTTTTTTCAAAATGTTCAGTGGTTTTTGGTTTGTTTAAGAAAAAATAAAAAACACAGAGGTGATTAAATACCACCAAAATAAAGCTCTATCTGTCACAAAAAAAGGCTAAAAATTTCATATGGGTACAGTGTTGCATGACTGCGCAATTGTCATTCAAAGTGCAACAGTGCTGAAAGCTGGAAATTGGCCTGGGCAGGAAGGGGGTATAAGTGCCCTGTAGGGAAGTGGTTATGGAGATGCTGATTTCATTTTCCAGCAGGACTTGCCACTTGCCCACATTGCCAAAAGTACCAATACCAGGTTTAATGGTAGGCAAGTGGTTATGGAGATGCTGATTTCATTTTCCGGCAGAACTTGCCCACATTGCCAATAGTACCAATACCTGGTTTAATGGTCATGGTATCACTGTGCTTGATTGGCCAGAAAACTCGCCTGACCTAAACCCCATAGAAAAGCTGTGGGGTATTGTCAAGATTGTCAAGAGGAGGATGAGACACAACAGACCCAACAGTGCAGATGAGTTGAAGGCCACTGTCAAAGCAACTTGGGCTTCCACAACACCTCAGCAGTGCCACAAGCTGATCGCCTCCATGCCACACCACATTGATGCAGTGATTCATGCAAAAGGAGCCCCGACTAAGTATTGAGTGCATACTATACTGTACATGGACATATTTTTCAGTAAGCCAACAGTTCTGTATTAAATTAAAAATCCTTTTTTTTTATTGGTCTTATGTAATATTCTAATTTTCTGAGATACTGAATTTTGGGTTTTCACTAGCTGTAAGCCATAATCATCAAAACTAAAAGAAAGAAATGCTTGAAATATATCACGCTGTGTGTAATGAATCTATATAATATACGAGTTTCACTTTTTTAATTGAATTACTGAAATAAATTAACTTTTTGATGATATTCTAATTTATTGAGATGCACCTGTAACTACTTGAAATATTTAAAGTAAATGTTAACCCTGCCTAAATGATGTTTTATTTGCTGTGCACTGTGTATCATAAATTGATACAAATAAAATTTGCTTTGTTAACCTTTATTACATCCCATTGTTGCTGATCTGCTGTCTCTTGTTTGCAGTCACTTCCTGACTATATGCACTCCAGCGATGGCTGTATGGCATTTCCTGATGGTGACAATGGACAATTCTTGTGTAATGTGAGTTGAAACAGCCACTTGTAGTCTTTGTTGGGAGCCCATTTGATAGGGTTATAATGCGGGAGCACAACTGAGAGACAAGGACTGAATGTGGTCACCCTATAATAGGAAGAATCTAAGAAAGGACCTTCATTGCAGGATCACCAGGTATTGTTTTAATAATATTGAAAATTACTTTTGAAATTGCATTTACATTATTATATGAAATTATAGTGACTAAATATACAAATACCTTTACGACAAATAATTAATCAACTGTTTTGCGTCAGTGCAAAATAAAAAACATTATTTTCAAGTAAACGGCAACAAATGTATGTGTTGAGAAATGCATATTTACCCATCACACTATTATATTGCATGTGAGGACCTTGAATTATGGTAGAATTAAAAAAAAAACTTTCTGTAACTTATTCCTTTTGTCTTTAATATAGTTTCAAATCAGAATTGCTAGGGTCACCGTTTGGTCCACACAATGGAAAGGATTTACTAAAGGCAAATGGACTATGCATTTTGCAGTTGCACTCATTTTCCCCAGAGCTTAGCAAAAGTGGAAAAGCGCTGCTGATTTTCATCATTTAATCATGTTCAAGCAAAAATGATGGGTTTTTTATTGTTTTTTTTTTATTTTCCTTGCACCTGCCTGGGTTTTCTTTACAAAGTAAAGCTTCACAACATTCACTAAGCACTGGGAAAAATTAGTGCAACTGCACTTGCAAAGTGCACAGTCTATTTACCTTTAGTAAATCTACCCCAGTGCCTGGATTCCTTATTACACTGTATTCGGGAGCTGCTACATTTCCATTTCCAAAAATACAGAAATTCAGTAAATAATGTTTACCTTGCTGCCTGAGACGACAGACACACAATTATCTGTGGGTGCAAAGGGGAACAATTGTTAATGTCACACAAACCATTTAATGCTAGCTATATAGCACTAAAAAGCGTGGATGCCGGAAGCTCTCCTGAAGGCACATGCAGCTATCAGAATACTTGAACAGTGACTGCATCTGATTGGATGTAGTCACTGTTTGCCTGACAATTTTCCATGTGGCTTCTTGACAGCGCCACCCATAGCTTGAATTTCTTCCCATTCAGCAGGGATCGGCTGAAATTCAAGCCATCTGTGGTAGCCTTTACTAGAAACTCCAGCATAAACAAACCAGCTATGGGAGGTTTGACATTTTCTCAATGTCAGGGCATTTGCGGATAATATTTTTATTTTACAATGATAAGTGACTATTGTATGTTTTTCTGTTGGAATGTATTTTTCATGCAAGCTCCACTTATATATTAAAGTGTTACTAAACCCACAACAGTAAAATCAGTCTGTATATGCAGTAAAGTAGGCTTGTTATACTCACTGTGGAACCTAAGGGGTTAATCCTCTGCATTGTGTAAAAAAGCCATTTGATCCTTTTTTCTCTGTTCCTCCCCTTTTTCAACTGACCACCTGTTATCTCCTGATAAGACAGACTAAACCGTAGGCATTTTGCACATGCTCAGTTTGGTGTTTACTACTAGAGAGGTTTTTTTTTTTTTCCTTGGGAGAGTGCATGTGATCTTCACAGCCAATCAGCACTGGCCAGATAGCGGACAGGGGTCCTGCATCCTCCTAAAGCAGAAAGAAAACTCCTACAAGCTTTAGCTAGTGCTTGGCTGACCGCTGATAGAAGCCACAAGACTGCTCTAACTTCTGATGAGAAAAGGTATTTAGCAGTTTATGTTTACTAAAATAGTTGCATTTCCATGTTGTGTGTACTGTGGGAGACCAGATATAGTGAACGCAAGGTCCTGGGTTTAGTAACACTTTAATGCTTTTCTCCAATATTGTAAACTCCTAAATCATTTCCATATTTAAATATCTGAATAGTTCACATCACTGTGCCATAATTTTTCATTGTCCTAATTTATCTTAGTATCTAAAATATGAACCGTCAGTATTATCTAATAATCATTCATTTAGATTTTTCAGCACAATAATAATGATTGGAAGTTGTTGAAAAAAAAAATAAAAGATGGGAAGAGAGTACAGTCACATGACCTGTCAAAGTGATTCTCCTCCAATAGAGGATTTCTGTGTGTGCTGCATTAAAGTGATATTAAAGGATGACTTTTTTAAAATAACAAACATGTTATACTTATCTTCTCTGTGCCATGGTTTTGCACAAGTCTTCTCAAGTCCCCTGCTGACACTCCTGGCCCCTTTCTTCTGCCAAGTACCCTAAGAGCAAGGAGCATGCTGTAGGGGCACATGAGCAGGCTTGCTCCTGAGTCACTGCTCTCTCTGTTCATTCAGATACAGAGCATGACTCTCACCCCCACTCTCTCCTCATTGGCTCACTGGCTGTGAATGACAGTAGTGGGAGCCAATGGCTTCTGCTGCTGTCTCAGCCAGTGAGGAGGGGGGTCCCCAGAGACCTGCTACTCTTGTGCACATCACTGGATCCAGAGGGGGCTTAGGTAATTATTAGGGGGGGGTTTCTACCTTCATGTATGGAATGCATGAAGGTAAAAACGTTGAGCTCAATAGGATGCTGCAGAGTGCATACTGGGGCCCTCATTTAATGAAAGGGCATGTCAAAGTATTCAGTAGATCTGTGAAGTATAACTGAGAAGGTGAAATATGATCTCTGTTATAAATAAGCCCCTTAGACCCTCTTTAACCCCATAACGACACAGTAACACATATATGCGGCATCCAGGAGGTGGGCTTTAAAACTGTGTGCCGCTCACCAAGAGCCCTGTGTCTCGTACTAACGGTCAGGACTCCCGGTACCCGGTCACCTGATCAGTCACTTAAGTGCACTTTTTGTGTGTGTTCATATGCACTCTTTTTTTGTTCATTTATGGGCTTTTGTTTTTGCACACCACAGCAGATTACAAAAAAAAAAAAAAAAGTGATTGGTCTCTGTACAACCTGCTCATGTTTTTCTTTCGCTTCTGAAAGGAGAGGAAGATACATTGTACCAATTAAATCCCCGCGGCTTTCTCTCCTCTCATTGCAGGTATGACAGTACAGACTAGACAGCTTTTGATTGTTCAGAACCGTCACGGTGCTGACTAATCAAAAGCTGTCTAGCCCATAGTGTCATCCCTGCATTGAGAAAACAGAAAGCTGCAGGGATTTGAATTCCCCAGCTTTTCCTTCTGTGACGGCATTGAGTCGGTGCAGGGTGGTTTCATGCACCGTTTCTATGTGATTTCAGGCTATGACAAGCCTGGGTTCATACAGGAGCAGTGGGGAACCCACATGCAATTTGAACAGGAATCGCAATGCAATCCTGTTCTAATCGCGTGCAATTCTTTGCAGTACAATTTGCATCCATACATTTTGTATTGACACAGATTGCACCACAAAGTATTGGTTTCAGGAATTTGGAGCATTTTCACGAGTATGAGTACTCATGAAAATACTCTGCATCGGCACCAATATCGGTATCAGTGCATCCCAAATTATAAGGCAAAGGTGGGTATCAACAGGGCAGTATTTACGTGAAAATCAGCAGCCAATAGGCATAAATCTGATAATAGAGTCAACATCAGCTATACAAGATCTAACTGTTTAAGCAAATATTTAGAGCAGAGGTCACCTGTGCCAACAAAACATGGAAATTAGCTTCCAATGTACCTGTTGTGTTTGTTATTTTTATCCCCCCATTCTCAATGCACATTGA